CTAACGGTCTGGGATTCTGTGATTCTGAGTAGAAACAACTCTGATGTACCCCAGGTTCTGTGAACCACAGCCATCAGCACCTAACTTCTGACTTCCCCTCTGCCTAAGGAAAGAGTACTGAGTTCATGTACAACACTTACATTAAGCTTTTAAATTATCTTAATTTACATTTTTCAGAATTATAGAAAATAAATAGCCAATACACAGACTCTAGGCAACCCAGTATAACCTGATGTAAACTGCACAATGCAGCACCACACAGAGAGCAATTGATTATTACACTGGCTTGGCTTTTTTTCAGCAATTTTTTCTGAAATAGTGAAAGTTTTTCATTCACTTGATGTTTTGAATGCAATAAAAAATTAGGAAAAAAACCAACCAACCAAACATAAATACTTTTCAGGAACAACAAAATCAACAGCCTTTAAAAAATAGCATCTTCATAATGGAAGTCACAACAGTACCACTCAGATTGTTTAAAATCAAGCTCTACTCATCTCATTTTTGGAAAAAGATACTGGAGTGATACTGATCTCAGTCATTATCCTTGTGGTTTGTGCTATATGAGCATTTAGTCTAAATTTCATAGTAAATTTAACTTACTTTAGACTGTCTCTGTTTTCTAAAAATTTTGGACTTAGTTAAATTCACATTTACATGAACAGGATGTTCACACAAATGACCAGGACCTGCAGAGGAACAACTTGTAAAGCTGTCATGGACCACTGCAAAATTGTTATGCAGGTTGTGCTGCTTAAGCACAGATAGGTCAGAGCTAAAAGACAACACCACATACAGAGAAATTGAAACTGAGAGTTTCAGTGCTGGGTTGCCTAAACGTTGACATTTAATTCTGTACCTGGGCATCTCAGTACAGTGGTGTGATGTTCCAAAATGCACAGCACCTATGATTCTGAGCTCATGCCTCAGAAAAAATACTCCTATTATTTAAATACCAAATTTTAAACATTTAGAAATTTAGACTTAAAACTTTTAGATAAGCGGGTAGCATAGTCAACCCTTTAGCAACGTAGCTTTGCAACTAGCCCTGGTGAAGAGAAATCAAAGCAGAATTTGTAGAGTGCACATCCATATTTTCTAGCTTATTTCATGCACAGACACTGAAGTACTAAAGAATCTGCAGCTATACACAACAAAAAAGCCTGAAAAGATAGGCACTAATGCTCAAACAAGCGAACAACTCTCTTTAGCTTTACACTTCTCCTTTAATAGTACAACCATTTCCTTTTTTCTGGCTTCTATCTATAATTGAGTGATTTTTAAAAAAACAACAAACAGTCAAGGCAAAGAAAAAACACCTACTACAGCTATTGGCTGTATTTCTCTCCACAATGGATACAGGTATTTTTTCATCCTTAGACTAAGAACATACTCTGTTGTCCACAAAAAGTAGCTATTTTAACTAAAAGTGTCCCTTTCACCAGCTCCCTTTTTTTCTCCAGTGCTCAGAACGATGGGAAGAAAGCACAAGGCATTGTGCTAACTGCCCCTACAAAATACGTTATTTTCTGCCCGCTTTCCGTGTTGTTCAAGTCAGGCCCTGTGGATTGCCATCTTCCTAGGAAAATGTAACGCTGGGACTGAACTGCTACTCACCCACTGGTGTACTGGCAGACTTCTCTACAGAAAGACTGCGCAGACCGTGCCTCCTCACTGTTGTCAGATGATCGAGCAGTAGTGGATTCTGCACACAAAAGATGACTCTCACTGTAAAAGCACTTTGTGACATTTCTTTTTCTTTTTTACATATCCTGAGCTCTTTTTTCTTCTTCTTTTTTTTAAAAATTGCATTACAGAAATATTTCCACTTTAATTTTGCTTAATTATTTTCTATTTGCCGTTTTTAGCCTAAAAAAATGTTCTCCTAAAAGTGCACACTATAAAGAAGAATCAGGATCACTGTCTCACTGCTCATCCTCACATAAAAACTGCTTCCTTCCCTTGAACTACACAGATTAAGCTACAGGAATTTTATTTAGTTTGTTTTTTTTTAATCCCCATCATGCTGAAGAAAAAGGAGAGCAGTAGCTAGGAAGCCTGTAGGTTACTGACAGTTATTAACAGCAGCATGAAATACAAAGAAAAGTGAAATTCTCTCCTATCAGTTTATAGGATTCTGTATTTAGGCTCTGGGTATTTACCAGGTTGAAGGGTAAATAAAAGTTTATTTTCCGAAATCCATTCTAATTGTCACTGCACAGCTCACAGTGCTGCTGCTGGGCAGAGCTTTGCTTCTCAAGGAGCAAAGAGGGGCAAGTTACCACTCTGGAATTGATCAGGAACTCATATATCAGTAACTATTTTGTGTTCTTAGGCTAAGCACACAGAACTGATATAATAAAATGCTCTGAAAAAAGAAGTAGCTATTTATTTTTTAACCAGAAAACAGTTATTACTACCTAGCACTGTGTCATTTATTATGAGGAAGTTTATATCTGCAAGACACTAATGGTGCTCATCCATTATATTTAAGAATTTGTGTAGAAACACCAGGATAATCCAACCCAAATACACCTCTACCTGTTGCTGAAGAGACGACGATTTGTGTTATGTGTGCCAGTGTTGTCAGGTGGAAGAGGTAGAGGTGGTTATAGGCTGAACTAATTGATGAAGGTTGCAAGTCTACAGCATCCTCCCAGTATAAAGACGGAAAGGATAGCACAACTCCCACCTACAGGGAAAGGGAAGGAGCAGATATTAAAATAACAGAAATTTGGTAGTAGCTGCATAGATAATAGAAATTATATTCTCACTATGCCTTTATATTTAATTTCTGTAGTCAATTTAAAATGTTCATCTATCTTGCTAGTTTTAATTCACAAAGTGTAGCAAAAACTCCTTGGAAAGTGTTAACCATCAAAGCCTCTAGCATGTAGGAAACTCAGATACAGTTCCATTCTAATTGCCAGTTTAGAGATCCACCAAGAAAGCTTGTCCAGGTCCTAGAAAATTTAATTTCTGGTTTTTGACATAAGACAAAGCACATTGAAAAAAGTAAGAAATGAGACCAAGCATTAGCTAGAAAGGCAACCAGGGCAAACCAGGTTTTAGTTTGGTGGGTTTAGGGGTTTTTTTAATTGCTTTTTGTTGGCTTTTTGTGTTGTGTGTCTTGTTTTGGTTTTTAACAGTCGAAGAAACTATAATACAGATTTGTATTAAGAACAGAAAGAAGAGGCCAAGAAGAGTAATGAAGGTAATGAGAGTGAATGTGAAGAAATCAGAAGGTATGAGAGGCCTGTTGAGACAGAGTGAGGGAAACAAGCTGAGTGGGTGAATTTCTCAGGGTTTTGTTTGAGGTTTGGTAGCCATGGAGGTGGCAAAAAGAGGATTGAGATTGCAAGCATGAAATTTCATAAGAGTGGAAAGCAAAGACTTGAAAACAAGAGCAGCAGAACTAAAGGTAAACACAAGTATATAGCAGCCATACGTAATGATTCGCTTGTACGCAGTGCTCATGTATCATCATTTGACTCACGGGAGTGAAGAGAGAATGCAGGACTATCTACAGGGTAAAGTACCCAAAAATCCATGCACAAAAAAAAAGGAAGTATTAATATGAAGAATAAAATTAACCTGCTTACCAAAATGTGGAACATATCTACTTCTAAGAGGGATGGAGTGTCCTCTGCTTTAAAGTTGGGCAGCAGAACTACAAAATAAAGATATCAATTACGCATTTGATATGTATTTTCTTCTTCTGGATTGAACTGCAATATCAGAATCTGATTTTAGAGCCTCTATAATTTCTGTGTTTTCATCCAAAAAATGTCCACATCTGATCTAGGGAAGCACGGATTTAATTAACTGCTTACTACTTATTTAATTGATTGTGCATCTGTTTAGGTATTTCTGCATGCTCAACCAGCTCACAATTTTAATGGCTATATATTAAAAATTCTGAGATAAAATCTTTTAATTTTCAGCTCTAAGAAAGCACACACAATGTTGATTAAGGGTGAAGTACACAAATGTACCACCACAACAGTAGATGCCTCACAACTTAATCCAATACAAAAGCTTGTACCCACACCTAAGCATCCTAAAAAATAGAAGACAAGTCAAGGAGTGTTTGATCCACAAAGGCTAACCTAACCAGTAAGAAACACGGAGGATGGTTACGTGTCTCAAACTAGCTCCCCCTAAAACCAAAATGCCTTAAACAAGGCTGCAAGTGGCCTTTTGAAAGAGCTAAAAAGATGAAGTCTCAAAATTCAGAGAGAGGAATACCCATTTTGTGGCTTTATCTACCTGGTTAGCACATAATTTGAGTACTTGTTAACATTGACAGAAATAGTTGACCATCTGTAAATATTCCGGATCTGAGTATTGCCTAGGTTATCTGAGATAGAGAATTTTTTTGGGACTTCAGTGATACAGGGCTGGGTTAACAGAATTATTACTTAAATTCAAGGAATACTCCATGATTTCTGAAAACATCAGAGAAATTGAAGTTAGCACTGTAGTCAGTATTCCAACCTTCGCTTCTATGCTGTATTAACGTGTGTGCCATTTTGCAACAGAAACTTCTGCAACACAAAAGCTAGAAAAGGACTACAATACCTCCTAGAAGACGAACCAGATGTTTCTGAATCAGGACCTGTGGTGACGTTGTTCTCTGAGCAGCTGCAAACTGCACTAATGCTTTAAGGCCACTGTGCTAGAGCGCAAGAGAAAATGGTTGGACAGGAAAAAAAGAAAAGTATAACAGTGAACTAAAGCTGTAAAAGCATATCTACTTCTACACACAGAAAACATTGATAAGAGAATTGAATATGAACATCCATGTGCAAGCAGAAACATTACTCTTCCAAAATGTTCTTTATGTTATGGATCTAATCACTGAGAGCTATCCCTCAGCAGAGAATGACATTGATGTTAGCAGTTTAAACAATGAGGTTTTGTATGTGTGCACATTAAATATGAAGTTTTTTTGCTTAAAATGTATTGCATATCATACTTCTCCATACCTGTCTATTTTGTAGAGATCCAAATAAAGGCTTGCCCTCCGTTTCCAAGAGGTTTTCTTAAAATCAAACACAGAAAAAAAATTAAGCTGCTTTGCTCCACAGGAACCAATCAATTCAAATGCTTCTGTGCTTTAGTCACTCAACAGAGATTAATCAGCTCACTTCAAAGATCTTGGATCTTTGTTGTTGTTCCTATTATTTATATTAGATTATAGATTATCACTCTATTATATATGTAATTGCATATAGAATATAAACGCTACAGTTACATATAAAATAATATGTTTTTATACTATTATTACACTTACTACTATTACTCTTATTTATGTAGAGTAATTTATTATTATTTATACAATCAAACAACTGTAAGATTTTCAAGTCATGAGAAGGAATAAAGCAACTTATCCTTTACCTATACATTGTATGGTAAAAGCACACGTGCTCCAGGTCATCATAGGAATCCTGCAATCAGCTTCATTTGGAGCAACCTTTAGCCCAACTCTGTAAATGGTGGTGGCAAAGAGAATAAGCATCTCCTTGATACTGCTTGAGTATTTGGCCCTGTAAAAGCAAGCCAAGATAATTTCAGTTTTAATATTAATAGTGCCTATTACTTACCAGTCAATCAATCACTAACAAAGTCTAAGTTATTTATGAAAAAATTCCTGAATACAAAAGCCCTTTGCCTGTACAGAGGAGAAAAAAATTACTAGTTTCCAGTAGTAAACAAGTACCTTGACATAACAGGCTCTACAAATGGAGAGATTAAGAGCTGCCAGGCTCGAGATCTCTATACTATATTATAATTTACATTCAAAAAATACAAACATTTAAATCAAAGTAAAATACACTGGGAAAACCAAATGCAAATAAGCAAGTTTAATTGTAAGTGCTGGAGTGAAAATACATCCCACCTCATAAGGCACTAAAAATGGAAAGAAATAAATTCCAAATGTGTTTTTAAATACATCTTTTAGCATTTAAGCTCCTTTCAACTGACACTGGGGTAGTTTATGTAAATGCAGTTATATGCAGAAAAGTGCCTAGGCAAAAACACATACAGTTTCATATTTGTTTGAAGTCATACATTCTGAACTTTGTAACAGACATACAGGATATTCATATTAATTCTCCAAGTCTCTATGGCCAAAAGAATTGTACCACAAAGTTTGGGGTTTAGCCAGGCTCATACTTAAATACCACATCAAGTGCAAATTACAGAATCTTTCCCATGGAGATGATTTATCAAGAAAGAATTTGATTCAACTTTCCGATGATTTTCACAAACAGCAGATATAAGTACTTTGCATAACTATAACGTCAGCCAGAAGTAACAGAAGTAGAGTGCTTATGGCATGATCTAAAACGAAGACAGACAGCTGAGTACTCTTGAAAAGTGTCTTTCCATTCATTCCATTTCAGTGGGAGAGAGCTTTTGCCCACTGGAATAGCAACACACAAACCAGCTCTATTCCTTTGAGTAATCTGTATTACATTCTCAGATCCAAAACCAAGTGAAATCTATCCCTGAAACAGACATATAGATGGAAAATTAAGGCAGACAGACATTAAATAACTTGCCTAGACCCAAATCACTGGAATTGTGGATTAGAAGATTCCAGACTCCTAGCTTTGTACCACGAACATACGAAATACCAGACTGGATTTGACCAAGAGGTCCATCTAGCTCTGTATAGATCTGATATTCAGCAATTGCTTAAGGAAAAGTAGAAGCAAGGCCATATTTAGACCAAACAAATCATATGCCTTTCCTTCAATAAAAACCCTGAAGTATACTTCGGTTATTTTAGGGAGAATGAACATAATACAGAGAGCGCTTCCAGTAACACTTACGAGGACTGAACTCCAAAACTAAGGATGGAATGGAATTCCAAAGCAGAGTTCCCCATTCCCTTGTTGGCGAAAGCTGGAAGATTTTGTTTCTCTCCTTCCAGAAAAAGAAATTAGATCCACATTAGAAATGAAAGAAGTTGTTACAGTTTTTACAGCAGTCTATCAGAAGTGAGATTTCTTTTTGCTTTAAACTGGTTTGAAAATAACTGTAAACCTCACCAGCCAGCCAGTCTTCTAACCCTCCTTCTTAAGTAACATTTCCTTCTAATCCCAGAAATATGAGGATTAAAAGTGGTGCTTTGCTGGTGAGGAAAAAGAACTTTCCTGCACTATAAGAGTGAAAGGAATATGTTGATTCTCTGTACCTTCTGTTTTCTAAACACTCGTACATGTTTGTGTCAGCCCTTTTAATTTAATTTTTCCTCTTTTTTTACTACATCACAGCCAACACAAAAGTGTAATTAACTCTGAATACAAACTGGTAGCAATCCTCTCCAAGTGTACATAATTTTCTTCTACAAGGAAGATGGAAAGAATTTAACAGAAACCAGAAAATTGGCGATGGATCTGTGAAATCAAGACATCAGCTCAAAAGGACCACGACTTCATCCCCAGCTTTATTTGATATTGTCTTGATTGACAGCAAAATTTATCCCTTAGTTGAAGTTTTCTGTTGGTATTAGTTAAAACATATACTGGCATATTAGATATCCCACAGAATAGCTTCAAAATTAAGACAACAAACCTTTAGCATTTTTCACACTGTAGCCTGATATCCTGACTATGATAATCTCCAGCCACCTAGCCAGGGACAGAATTTGAGCTACTGCCTCTGCATCCTCACTGAGAACAGAAATAGAAAGCAGGTTTTACTTTTACACTCAAAGTACCACCTTATCTTTAAAAACAGAGGACACATTTAGATCAAAACAAACCAACTCGGTATTTGTGAGCAACAGTACAAAGTGAAGTGTTAGGCTAAATACCAGATCTAGGTACTTTCTCATTTGATATAAACTCCAGAGATAGCCTACCAATAATGCTTTAAAAATAAAAATTACTGCCAGAAGCAGTAAGTTTGGCTGAATAGTCAATAAGGAGAAATCACAGAATCACAGAATCGCTCGGTTGGAAAAGACCTCCGAGATCATCACGTCCAATGCAGTCTTTGACACAGATTGGGACGGTCAGCCTAAGTACTCCTTTCAAAAATTTGAAAAGTCCACCCACCTTGAAGTAATTTTTACTTTTTGTTTGTTTGGGGGTTTTTTAATTAAAGGCTACGCAATGTGGTAACTCACCTGTTTATTTTTTGAGGCTGCAGTGGAACGATAGGAATCACAGTATTGCACAGAGACTTGCAAAGTGGACAAAGATACTCTCCATTCTCCAAGTCGAATATCTGCTCAACGTGCAGGCGTTGTTGAAAGTTCAGCTGCATGGCTTCAAAGTACCTGTGACATTGAAAAGGAAATTACTAGGAAGTGGAATGGCTCAAATGTGACATGAAATAAAACAATCAAATAATTAAGTGTTATTACCTAGCAAGTACCCATCCAAGCCAACAAACAAGTCTTGCCCTTTGATTTATAATTCTTTCACGTGCTTGGACATGGAAATAAAACAAAACCCTTGAGCACATAGATGAACTCATGCAAAGATGCATGGTATACCACTCATGCGAAAACCACAGCAACTTGCCCTACCTTTTAAGATCTTTTAAAATATTCACTAACATTTTCACAGACAGGCAGTCCTTAAGGTTTCTACTCTCCTGTTACATCTTCCAAGCAATGAAACATTGTGTCCAATATCTCTCATAAGCAACTCATTACATACAGTAAGTTTGAAAAGGGAGTTGTACATATTCTTTTTTTAATTTTAGGAAAAACTCCCAGTAACACTTCATGACTGAATAATCAGCTGTTCATGGGAATGACTGAGCCTCATGACTAAAGAATGGAACCGTGACCTTCTTTTCACAGGAAGATAGGATAATTTCTATTACAATATCACATTTAAACTATTTTAAACTCAGAAGGAAAGTAAGAAATAACTATGATCTTTCTTCAGGTTTCATTATGATTTTGCCCCATCAGTGGATGCAGTAAACCTTCAGCTTTCATTAATGTCTCAGTGGTATTATTAGGAACAACAACAAAAAAATTCAACGTTCAAATCTTCTTGCCTGGATACAAGCAACTAAATTCAGTACTAATGTCCAGACTGAGGATGTAGGAACTTAAAGACAGATACGAAATTATCTAACTTCCACACTAAGGTAATAACTAGGGGGGTTTTTTTGCTTCAAATCTTAAGTCTTAAGGGAAAAAGTAAAAATCCATTTACATAATGAGAAAGTGTGCATGCAGGGACATCTGCAGAGGTTCTAATGAGTATGGAATATTTAGGAAAGTATTCTGTTACAATGAACAGAAACACACATTTAAAACTTTCCCACATTCAAACAATTGCTCTTGCAAGCAACTCTTCTTCCTCACACATGGCAACTACAAAGATATTCCATCCATTTGAACTTGTACTGTATTTTGCAGTACTTTTAGGCTGCACAGATACTCTAGAAAGGTGTGGCAAGGCATCATTTGAAGGAATATTAGTAAGTTAGAACGTCTGTTATGTAATAAATAAAAGACTATACTCAAACCTTCTGTGCCATCCCGTATGAGAAGAGCCTGTTGTCCATTCTAATCCCTTTTACCCATACAGCAAGTCATCTTTTCTTAAAAAGAGCAAGGGAACTGAACTCCAGTGTTGCACTACTTAGATCTACGTAGATGTAGATGGATCTGCCAAGAGCAGTTGTATTATACTCAGGGAACATACTTCATATCATTTTAATCGTGTGCACCTATTTATTCTGTACTGAAGGTTTATTGTAAAAAAAATAAAATCTAGAGAAGTAAACGATAAGCACTAGATGTTTAGTCAGATTTTTTTTTTAAAGTAAAATGGCAAAAGTGTAAACAACAAACCTCAAGACATTGTTCATATCATAACACAATATAAAGTAGCTTGCAATTGCACGGCCCAACTCTCTTTATCTGTTGGTAATAGTCCAGTGGGATTATTTCTATTATTATTTCACGGTATTTATCTTGTTTAGACTTGCCAGATCTACGTGGAGTCACATGCACAGAGCATTAGCTTTGCTCTCTGTAATCCTACAAATGTCCTACAAACACAACCAGGATGACTACATTCTGCAACTAAGTAACTTGGTCTGTTAGTATTTCAGGTTGCAGTCTAATCCAACACACTTGCTCTAAATTGTGGGCTCCCCCAAGCAGCAGATGTCTAATAAAGTTTTTAAGCATTGTATCAACTCTTCCCTCATATTTTTATTAAGAGTTTTTTCACTGGTAGGGAAGGAGGGGGAGGTGTGGAAGAAATAATGGTAGATTTACCCATTCATATTCTATTCTAAATGCCAGATTCTCACCTAAAGACTCACTAGAATAAGTGCTTCATCCTTTAATAAATCCTGACCTGGAGACAGACTTTCAGAGTCTAAGTATTGTTGCTATAGAATGCTCACCTGGATTATTTCTACTGGTTCTCATTGGATGGTTCCATGTGAACATAAGGACAAACCTCTTTACTGTAAGGGTTACAGAGCATGGCCCAGGCTGCCCAGAGAGGTTGTGGAGTCTCCTTCTCTGCAGACATTCAAAACCCGCCTGGACGCCTTCCTGTGTAACCTCATCTGGGTGTTCCTGCTCCGGCAGGGGGATTGGACTGGATGAGCTTTTGAGGTCCCTTCCAACTCCTGATATTCTGCGATTCTGATTGTTAAAAATAAACCTACTATATATGGTTTCTTATTCTTGACCAATTTTACCCCACTGGTTTTATGTGCATAACTTAGTAACTCTTTCAAGATGCTTCTTTGAGTCACAGAAGGCACTAAAAATGTTTGATGATTATTTTCTTCATCAGGCCAAAACTTCTCTTTTGCCAGATTTCATTTTTAGGCAAGTAAAAATAGTTCTGACTCCTTAATTAAATATCCACTTACTGTACCGTCTTTTCAGCGTGCACTTAAATGCTTTGAAAAACAGGTTAATTTAAAAACCCCTGAAAACATTAAAAAGCTGCAAAGCCACATCCTTACTTCTGCCAGCAGGCTGCGTGCATCACATGACCACAGCTTCCTGTGTGGATCCCACAGGGTAAGTCAGGGTGCATGAAGAGAGGATCTTGTGTCTCTAGAAAGACACAGCAGAAAGAAATCACTGAGAGAACAATAATATGACTTCACATAAGTGTGAAAAGAAATGAACAACAGTATACACACAACACATGCCTCCAGATTTTCTTCTCCCACGGTTCGTGCAGTCACATTAAAACCCCATTTGGCCAGCTTTGCCAGACCAATACTCCAGCAAAGTCATCACGAGACAGAGCCCACCTAAACTACTGAAGGCTTTCCCCTATTTATGAGGAAATACACAACAAAATCCAAAAGCAATAGTAAAGCAGTTAAATAAAAGAAAATGATTCTTCAGTACTGTCACAGCTCTGTGGCTGGATTTGCCATCATTGAAGTTTTCGATGTGTTTGTTATTGTATTTTTAAATAAAAGAAGGTGAAACTACTAAAGACAAGACAGATTAGGCATTTCTCCAACTAATCCCATATATATTTACAAACCACTCACACGAACAGCACTGCTGAGTAACAAAGTCATGTCTATCTTTTACTAATCTTGTGTAATTCTTAACAGCAAAAACATTATGAGAATGCATAGGCACTCAAAATGAGATTCCATTTTCCCCTTAAAGATATCCAAGTAATACTGCACAACAGCAGTTGTCAAGTCTCATCTGGTGGACTGTTTATGATTTTGAACATAGGCACCTGAATTTGACAAAATGGAAATTAAAAAAAAACCCCAAAATACAAAAAACCTAGCGCCCAAATTGCACTGAGAATATGATTTTATTTGACAGCAGCTGATGCTGCTCTGAGTCAAATGAAGACTGCAATAAGAAAGTGAACATTGGGATAACACTGATTTGCCACTCTCTGCACTTCTGCTGTGGGAACAAGCATTTTTCCACTTATTTAGATCTTCAAATCAAAAAAGCTCTTACAGGCCTACTTGAACTGATGAGCTGCAGAGGACCATGCCATTGACAGTGCATGCTACAAATAACATCCAGAAGTGGCTTTAGGAAAAGGAACTTAATTCCTTTCTTTTTCTCAATTATTTCAATAGCCCGACGTGTCACTGCAGAAAGCTTAACAAATGTACCTGACTACAAGACCGTAAGATTCAATTACAGAAGAGAGAGGAGGTAAAACAGATTAAAAACAAAACAAACAAAAATGATGCAATTAGTGCATGGCCTAGCTAAAAATTCTATACAGCTGGCTCAAAATTGCCATTATCAGTAGTTCACTGTTAAAAAGAAAAATGGACTAAATGGGATTCTATAGGAATCTGGGTCTGTGACTATTCAGCATTTGCTGATGACCCAGAGGAGCAAACACAAAACATCTTAATAAGTGAAAGAGCGTACTTCTAAACTCAGGCAAGAATAATGAACTGCACTAACAGAATTTAAAGCTAGACAGCAGTGGCATTATAAAATAGGACACAGGGTTCATTTTGCTTTATGAACTGACCACAATCAACAATATCCTGTTATAAAACAGAAACAAACATACTTGGAAAGAAGCAGGAATTTAAACAAGTTGTAACATCCTCACCATACAAAGGGAACAAACTAGAAAACATCTTGAGAGCTCTTACAGACCTCCAATTTTGTCATCTTTTAACACTGTACTCTTATTCCTTATGTCATTAGCTAGCTTCAATAAAAAGCATTTTAAAAAGTTATTGACTCAGCTTTATAAGAAGATATGGCCAGATACATAGAGAATGTATATTGATTAATAAATATACAACAGCTATTTAAATTTTTATCTGTGTTAAAATAAATACAATTCATTTTACAGGGAAATATCTTATGACTTTTAACTTTTCATTATTATTTCGTATTATAGCGTGCTTGAACCAAACTAGTACTTCTATGATGAGATGTACATCCACCTTGGGGTGTTTTCACCTAAACAACATTTGCCCAGGCTGTGTATCAAGTAGGACAGAGCCAAAAAGTCTAATAAACATGAGAAGAGTTTAGCTTTCTTTCTCCTTACCCACAAAACCAGTTATCCAGGTCAAAGAATTAGGCTGGCTTACTAAGTCCCTTTCTTCACAAATCCATTTTTGACATTTCTCACTGCTCTACTGTCTGTCTCTATTTTTTATATTGTCTTACACAGCAATAATGGAAACTCAAATTTTTAGTACTTTCTCATGTCACTTGTTTTTTTTTCAAGACAAATACCCATTTGCCCTTCTTAGTCTATCTCCTCTGCATTCAGAAGCTACCAATTACTGCATTGCTATTATGGAACTAACTCGTGTTTGTATTATTCTCTTGTATTCACCTTTTTTTGTTCATCAGATTATATCATATGATCCTTGCTTATACTTCTCTACTTTTTTTACGTTGCTGCTTTCATTACTTTCTGGACACAGAAGGAATTAAAAAACCAACACCCACACACCACCAACCACCCCTCAGGCTGTTATATTGGCCTCTGATAGTGTCCACCTATTTCCTTCATATTGGGAATGTTTGCTGCTGTACTTGAATAAATAAACAGGAAAACTGTTAATATTGTGGGGTTTTTCCCAGTGACCACCCCTACCTAATCTCTGTTTTACAAAATCTTCTTGTGAGATTAAAGCGTTTTCCGATTTCCCAGAGACAAATCAAAATCTTCGTACACTTTTCATTTCTTAAGTTTTCAAGTACAGGTTTTAGAACAACTTCAAATTTTTGCTTTCTGTTTATTACGTAGGGTAAGCCATTTAGCAATCTGACTGGATACAGAGTTTACTTGGGTTCAAAGGGTACGAGCTCTAGGTACAGAGCTGCTTGGAGTCCGAAAGAAGAAAAATCACATACCCCCTGAGAGTTCAAGAATTCTGCTCCTATTCTGAGTTAAGGCAGTTGATTTCTGGACACAGGCAGATAATACCATGGCAGCACTTTCCAGCTTTACTTCCTGCTCCTCCTGACACAGAATACACGTCAGAACTTCTTTCTCAGCCACAGATGGACCTCGTTTGGGACCCAAAGCAATTTTGGAGTAATCAACTGTCGAAGACATGCTGTCAGAACATAAGTAACACAGATATAAAATAATCAGATGGCTGTTTCGAAACAAACTTACTCTTCCAGGCATCAAAAAATGTCACGTACTGCTAACATTTCTGTTGTGTCACTGCTAACATTTCTGGTTTGATACCAAAGTGCTTTACAAAACTAAAGGATGGCCAAACAATGAAGAAACACCTCAATCCTCACTAAAATGCAGTACTCTTCAAAAATAGAAAGCAGAAGCCAGCTAACACAGAATAACACAACTAAATGGGTTTAGACAGCAGGAAATTCAGGACGCTGTATTCAGTGTAGCTTAGATTAAAGGTATTTTATTCTTCCAGACACATTAAAATTGTTCCCCATTCTTGAATAAAACATACTGAAAATGAATGTGACGACCTTGATTCAATGCTTTGTGACACAATGAGCTCCATGTATTTTTTTTTTAAATATTCCTTATTCCAGAGTTCAAAAATTATTTATAGGACACGAATTATTCAAGAACAAAGCACACAGAAGTGATCTGTACTTTTTTTCCAACAGATCTCTCTATTTTCCTGATTTGTTTTGTGCAGCCCAACTTAGACCAAAATTTTGAGTTGTATTAGGTATCCTACACTGTAGAAGCAGCTCTAGAACTGGAGCAATCCATACCAACAAAATTATAACCAATATAAACCAAACATCTTCAGTAAGGAATTAGAGTTTATAAACTAGCAAACAGGAATATCAGTGACTTGAGCTACAAGAGGCATGTATTCTTCATTGCAACTTAACCTTGGCATATTGGCTTTCAGAATCTGTCCAAATTAAATACCTAAATTTTCATGTAAGGTAGACAGTTACCTCCAAAACTGCAGTGTTGTCAACTCAGCAGCTAATGACAATTTCTCAAATGTTCAATAAGGTAAGTATCCACCATTTGAAAAAAAATAAGTTTTCTTACTGTTTATCTTAAGCTGCTCAACAAAGTGAGTCCACTGTTCCTAGGTTAGCACACACAGCTAGTTTACATAGAATTATGTCACAGAAGTTAAGAGTACGCAGAGACACAAGTTTGCTGACTGCAATGGCACAACCTGTCCATTGAGCATACTTAAAATTCTATGTAGCACCATGAACTTAATGTAGCAGATAACGAAATCTTCTCACCAGAACTCTGGATGTCTGATTTTTCTTACCTTTCTTCCTCCATAATAGCATCTTCTTTCCCCTGTGCCTCCAGTGTGTTTTCATAGAGGAGCTTATGGGTTTCGATGAAATTCCTCTGCAGTGCAGACATCTGAGCCATTATCTTCTGACGGTGCAACCTAGCAGCTTCTGCCTTTCTTTTCCGCTCAGCCTTCTCTTTATCCTGACTGCTCTGGGTCTTAGAATAAAAGAGAATAAAGAAATCACAGGCAACAGAGAACACACAAAAAAATGTGAAGAAACCTTCCCCAGCTATTGCATTCTAACCACTGAGACCAAAATCCTTAACTGGCAACACTTCAATGATTAAAAAAGTTAACTGCTATCTGAAAAACGTAAAACTAAAGTCTTAAAAAATAACTCATTAACCTTGCCAAAAGAGAGATTTTGAGGGGTCCACAAAAGGTCCCCAGTACAACCCCTTGCCCAAAGACAAGATCACTAATAGCTGATCCATTCAATTAGGTCCTTGTCTGTTCTTAAGAAACCTTAGTGAGATGAACATCACAAGCCTCCTCCAGTGTCTTGCTATTCCCTGCCATAAGCGCAACCTCTACTGAGTGTTCTGTATCTCCCTTACAGGAATTTAAGAACATTTTATCTGTGGACAACATAGCAAACAGATTGTTCCTATGTTTTTGTGGCAGCATTTTATGCATCAGAAGACTGCATTTTCTCTTATTCTTCTCTATTGTAGACTAGAAAACTATTCTTCTCCCAGTATTTCCTCACGTATCAAGTTTTTCAAAACTGTAAAGAAAGTATTTATAAGCTTTGGAAACGCAGAATTCAAAAACCACAGGTAAAAAACTAAAACATACAGAACTGAATTCCTCTTATTTAATTACTTAAGTCACAAATTCAACATCATACACATTGTTTCCATTCACAATAATATCACTTTTTGAAGAAATGAAACAACAACAAATTGCCCCACGAGAGGCGGAACCGTAAGAGCCTCACTTCTTACTGATTTTTGTGTTTTATTCTCTTACCTTATCAGGAATCATATGATAACTTTCTCAAAAAAGAAAGCCAGCATATGCTGTGGTAAGTTGAGAGCTATGCATGCAATGACAAGCCAACAGATTGTTTGGCAGCAAGCTGCTGCCAAGCAGAATGCGTAAGAGCAAACTGGCCTGTCTTTGCCCACTATTTAAGTGTAATCGGATTCCTCTTTTCTACTAAAAATAAACAAACAAAACACACCTCATGAGACTGCAGTAATGTGTGAAATCTCCATTTCACTGTTCCACTTGATCACTGGATTCAAAAGATATTTTGAGGGGAGGGGGTAGAGACTGATACACAGACAGAATAATCACCTAAGCGTGATGTCTTTATACAATCAAAGCAAAGCAGATTAACCTCTTGGTGGGTCACGTAAGTTACAAGACATCATTTTAAGTGGATTTGCATTTCTAATTATTGCACAATGACAACATAACAGAAAAGGTGATCAAATCAAAGACAAGATATGGACACAAATTACTTCTTCACTCCCCTCCGTTGTTTCACTTAATTTGGAAGTACCAACAAACCACATTAGCTGCTGATAATTCCATGAAACATGCGTAGCATAAATTTCGTTTATTAAAACTATTAAACCTGGAACCTAAATCCCATTTGTAAGCAATATATCAAAAATTGATATTGTTTTTAAAAATTCATTTTAGGTAACAAGAAGTTTAGGCACCTTTTTGAAAACAGCCATTCAAAACATTAAATACAAGGCTTCCATTGAACATTTTTTATTATTACCTCATCACCTTTTGTAGCTTCTGAGCCTGATGTAGCTGCTACTGTTGCCAAACTACATTTTTCTCTCAGTCTTTTCACCGTGTCAAACATCTAGGAATAAAGACTTGGATGTTAAAAATAAAACGCAACTTGGTTCTTATTAGGATATAGACAAGATTGAAGCCCTTGATATTTACTTCCACTTTACTTTCAGGTTTTCCAGTGGATTAAACCAATTGCCATACTCCTAAATGACAAGAACATGTACTCAAGACTGCATGTGCACTCCTGCAACACTGCTCTGTCTGTATCCTAAAGCACTGCTCAGTACAAAGGAAAGTAAAATTCTTCCAAATTTTCCAGTCTTCTAGCACTAAAACTGCTAAACAGCTAAAGCATCACCTGTACATCAGAAGAATGGACAGAGACTGCTAGCTTATTTCAAGTAGGTGAGATGTGGATCATCCCATGGAAATAGTCTGCAGTCAGTAAAATCATGCACACACCTGTACATCTGGAACAGAAACCTGTCAAATTAGTTAAACTGAGCCTTCAATTTTCATTTATTACTTTCTCCAGTTATCTTTACTTTAATAAGCATCTTGAAGTTTTGATAATATTAAATACTTTATCTATAAATATATATATATAAATATACACACACACACATCTTTTAAAGTACATTTTTACTTCTACCCTTAGAATTGTAGAATAACTTCTCAAAAACAGTCTTTCAAACCTGTCTCCCTAATGTACCAGTATAGTCTAATTTTAGTAGCTGAGCATAGTTTTGGAACCTTACTATGGACTCTTACCCTCTTTTCCAAGAGCACTGTCTTCAATGTTTGCCCCCTAAACCAAGAAGCCCAAAGTGGAACAGGACAGTAGCACCCCTGCCAAGCAGAATCAGCAGATATCCAGCAGTTTTCCCAATTTTTTACTGGGGAAGTGCAGGGAGTTGGAAAAATGAGACAGGTAAATGTACAATGTAGCCATTAGTCAGACCCACGTGATTCAAGTCTTCATACAAGGAGCCTCTAAAATGCTTTCCCAATCCATAAATTTTTTGTCACTTGCTGTTATTTTGCAACAGAAATACGGGGAATAAAGTTTATGTATAAAAATGTCATTACTAGAATGAGTTATCTAAGTAAAAATTGACCCAATACTTAAAAGTAGCAATAGCAAGTGAGCGTTAATGCAGTATTCAAGAAACCTCACCTCATCTGGGGGGAGAAATAGTTCCAACAGATTAAGCTTCTCAAGAAATTATTGCCGCTGTAACTACTGGGTTATACACAGGAATCATAACGTCTTTCATAAAAGCCTTCTAAAGTACTAAAATCAGACCATACTTATCCCCTCCTGATGTACCTGCAGTATCCAGTTGACTGTGTCCTTCTGTGCCTCTAACTGAGGAACTCTCTTCAGTTTCTCCAGAAGCATTAATACGCTCACAGCATTTAAGGCCGAGCTTCCCATTCCTTTACAAAGGAGTGAAAAATAGAAAACTATGGGTCTTCAGGGAAATAAAAATATCTCAACATTTTAATGGACGTGCCTTAAAATATTTCTATACACACGTATATGAACACAACCTGTGTAGTTACACTTCTGTTTTAATTTAATCTGTTAATTCCAGTTAAATAAAGCATAATCGTTCCTCCTTGTAGATCAATAATTTTGGCTATTTCCAGCAGCAGAAGTACAGACAAAAGTAGAATTTACTTTCGCTTCAAAGAGAAGCAGTAAAGCTCTTCTAGCTTACTTAAGTTTTCTAATGGCTTAGTGTGCACATGTTTAATCAGAAAAGGTATTGTAACGACAGTAATTATTTGCTTCCTCACACCTTGGTAACAGTTCATAATATTTTAGGCCATTCTCTATCCCAAGCATGATTTAAAATTGTGATCATTCTCTTAATTTATATTTCTTTTGCAGGATTTTCCATTTAAAATTCATTTGCATATTTTAAGAAGTGAGACAAATACATTACAATTGGGTTTTTTTAAACCACGTCTCGGTAAGAGTTTTCTTACAAAAATGCTGATTTTTTGGCATCCCTTATGGATAAACGGGGCTTTGGTTTTTCTGGTTATGCAAAACAAACTGGCAAAGAATTCTCTAATGTCTCAATTGCAATCACTTTTAGTGCATTCCTATAGTTGACATGAAGCTTCTTAAACAGAAATACGTTCAGTGTCATCATAGTACTACTTCTTGCTCAAGAATAAGAACATTTTAAAAAAAAGCGAAAAGGCAGTGTTTTTCAAACTCAGTGACCTCTCTTCACACAACATTTTTGAAAAGCTAAATAAAGGCAATTCCATAGCTTTACTTCACAATTCTCATCTCTGTGTCATCTCTGAAGTGATCACAGAATCACAGAATCCCAGAATCCCAGACCGTTAGGGATTGGAAGGGACCTCCAAAGCTCATCCAGTCCAATCCCCCTGCCGGAGCAGGAACACCCAGATGAGGTTACACAGGAAGGCGTCCAGGCGGGTTTTGAATGTCTGCAGAGAAGGAGACTCCACAACCTCTCTGGGCAGTCTGGGCCAGGGCTCTGTCACCCTCATTGAGAAATAGCTGAGTTGAGAAGTTGAAGTGATGATTATATTTAGTTTGAGAACGGATTTTTTTCATTATTTACTCTTACACAGTGAAGCAGAAACTCTAGCTACGATGGCAGATTTGGAAAATGTAGATTCCAACTCCCACTCACTACTCTTGAATGTAAGTTTAGGAAGTGCTCTGTAGAAATTTGGAAAAGTAAAGAAAAAGAAAGCAAGCACACACCATAGCCACTGAGAGTTGCTTCTATTATCACAGTCAGAGTAAAAGACTAACTTGCAGGTAAATCAATAACTGTACAGCCCAGGAGTACAAAAGATTGTACTCTTAAATTCACTATCACTTTTCAAGTTCTTAGCTTCCATTTCAACAACGGTCTCGTGAAGGAAGAGCCATTTTCAGTATTACTTTTCCATTTCTTTCCCAGGAAGAGAAGCACATCTCCTCTTCAACATATCTGGCATCTGGGAACAAAGGAAGCTAGTCCAAACTTGGTCTATTGATCATTTGAAAAAATAAAACCAGCAGGTTTTAATTCTATGCCAAAAAGTAAATCCTTTCGGACTAAAATCACTGAATACTTTCTTCTAGTTTATTTTTGTCACAACTTACAAAAGCAAGTTAGCCTAATTTAATCTGTCCTTTTAAAGGAAGTGAAACATACGTGTCGCTTTGTGATAAAAATCAAAGGTTACTTCTTCTTCTGGAGACTTCTGCAACTGCTGCTTCTCTTCTAGTAACCCTAAAGAAAGGAGATGAAGCACCTAAAGAAAGAAAAACGGTAAATCTCATTCACTGTTAGAGGTCTGGAAAACTGGCATATAAAATAAGGATGTTTGATATAGTTCTGTACTCTAAACTGATTATATCCATGATAAAACACAGAAATTAGAAGAAATGCAGAGATTGTACATGAAAAGTGAAATAACAATGCACAGCAGAATTTACTTGCACCAAAATTAATAAACTTGCACAAACTTTACATTAGTAACATATAAATCTTGTCGTTTTGCTAATAGAAATCTATGAGTATCTGGTTAATTCCATAATCCAAAGATCAGCAGATAAGGCAACACAATGAAATGATCTATCCACTCTAATTAACAAAACTGATAAATTCAACCAGGCTGTAAATTCAGGCCCTAATCCTGTATTCTAAAAACAAGCAAACATAAACAACAACAGAAAAAAACCTCAAGGATGTAAGTAATTCCTTTTTCTTTTAAATCATAATGTCACTGTGGTAAAATGCTTAAATACTCAAAAAATCGTATTATGATATTACTTCATGACCGAGGTGTCAAGGACAGTCACATATATGGGGACTTTGCAGCTTACAACATGAAGCAACTCCAATTTCTTTAAGATGATCAAAGGGCTACTTATTAGCACATGAAGCTTCAAGAAAAAGATGACGGAAGGAGAATTACCTATTGAAACAGCTTCAGTGGTGAGGCACGACAGAGGGAAAAGCAAAATAGAAAACAGAAGAATATTCCTAATTCAATACTATTGACTTTCATATTTGTATTTTACAGTGGAGATAAATGATTAGAAATACTTTCTTTTGTCAGGAGAGATTTATAAAACCAGGTAAATTTTTATCATTTAAAGTTTCTCTTTACACATTTTGATTAGAAATGACCATAAGACCACCACAGTTGACCTTACCATTTGGATCATGGCTTCAGTCCACAGGTGGGTTTCCAGTTCTACTGCTCTCTGAAGAATGGTCCGCAGTACGTGCATCATAACGTCGCAGTTCAGAATCCTCACCACGTTGCTGAATGCAGGACTGAAGTCTGGAGGAGGTGGTGGTGGCAATGCTAGAAAACAGAAATATGCAAATATGTTAACGAACTGGCATCTCATCAAAGATTGCTGGCAAAAAGGAGAGAGCACAAACATTAATTCCTGTGAAAGAACAACTGGACCACACAAACAATTGTTTGCCTAAGCCAGCCTTTATCATCTTCAGCAAAACTAAGTACTTTCAGTAAGTTCTTACACAAAACGCATGGAAACTAATCTAAACAATAATCATGAGTACTTAGTTGAAGTGTAAATGCACTGCCTCATCATTTATGTATCAATAATAAACATGTAGTGTTTCTGTCTTGTATCAGATACGAAGTTTTCAAGGAGTTAAACAAGAGTAAGCGGTGGATCTTCCAGAGTGTGGTGCCTCACATTAGAGTGTCTCGTACCTAACATGGCTGGAGCTCTAAATTTTTCCTGCTACTGAGGTATTCTGGCCATTTTTGGAGCTAATATTGGAACTGGTGGTATCTCACCCAGAAGCCACCTGGAAGCTTGGCATCTACTGACAACAGCTCATTTAACGCCACAGCCTTTCCCTAGCTGGAAGCATTCACTTACGTCTTCTCTTGGTATCTGGAAGCCTATTTTCAGAAAGCTTCTATGAATGCAGTGTCCCTGAAACCATCAATCTTTTGACAGTTTAGACTGAATGAATTACCAAAAGTGACTGACAAAGACAACGCAGCCACATAAAAGTATACACACAAAGTATCTGAAGCAAAATGCATAGCCTCAGGGGAACACACATCAACATAAACAGTTATCTTTGTATTCTGGAACTGTATTGTCTGATTACATGAAGTTCTGACACCTACATCTTAATATTTGCATTTTTTAGAACTTCTACAAAATAAACGTCCCTCCTAACACTTTAAGTTGCTAAAAGTGAACGTGGAGGGGAAAAAAAAATGAAGGCGGTACTATTGTACTATTGAAAATCTGTCAAATGTATAAAATAAACAGCGGAGGAAGAAACCAAAAGTAAATCAACTATATTTATTTACTCATTATTTTCCAGCTTTCATGATCTTCTGATTTACTTATAACTGAGGGAAATTAAATTTTTTCAAAGAGAACTTCATTTCCAATTTAACCGTGCCCCTTCTAAAGGACAACGTCAATTTATTCTTTTTCAGTTCCAGTTTTTTCAGCTGAAAGGAACTCAAAGCAAATAAAATTTATTCAGAATAAGTTTTAACCATCTGAGGTATGAAATGACGATTGTACACAAAAATTGAAGCATGCTGACCAAGTTAACTGGAAGGACAACGTGGGAAGAGAAAAATATTTCTCTGTCGCAACTCACAAAAGAGATGATAGCTGATTTTATTAAATTGTTCATTGTACTTATTTGCTTAGCTTAAAAAGTCTTCCTCAAATCAGCACAATTAATGCTCCTGACTTGAACAGGTAAAAGTAAACTCAAAAGGAAAATAACATTCGTGTTACAAAAGTATCATGGGGTTTTATGGTTATATCTGTTTTCAGCTTCTAAAAAAGAAAATTCTGACTTATAGAACTTCATTCTCAAGCCACTTACTGAATGGATCAGAGCAGCAACCATTTCTACATGGCATTATTATGTTTCAATATTGTGCTACAGAAAATACTCACAAAAAAGAAACTTTTGCTTCCTAGTTAATTCACCATAAACCCTCAAGTTGTTCATTTTGTCAATGGGTACTGTGCCATGCTCATTTGTCTACATGGACATTAAACTAAAGATTCCAAAACTCCTAACTTTGTGTTTAAAAAAAAGGAAAAAAAAAAATCACAGGTGCTAATGTATTACAATTACTACAAATCACAACAAATGTAATATGAACTCAACTATACATGATGGAGTCACAAGATATCTCCAAAGCTCATTTTATATTCACAGCTACATACACTGCTGAATTATCACATCTGTTGAGTCATCCGTTTCAAATTTTTACCTTCATCTCTGTTTTCTTGTTTCCTTCTTTTCTTTTGAGTATGTTCAGCCTACAGAAAAAGCAGTGTTGTTTTATCAGCATCTCTACAGAAGTACGCAGTGGGAAAAAAGAGAGATACTAAACTAGAAACGTGGCAAGATACACAGTCAATACGTGGTCGTGTAACTAGAACCTTACCTGAAATCTGTTTAACAATATTGCATTTTGCATTTCAATTTGTAGTAGTGATAACTAATTAGACATACTTGCTTCCTCAATAAGAGTTATAAAAGCACAGTTTGGGGTTTTCCAGTTCAAAGATCATTCTTACCGAGCATCTCCCTTATGAGGGGCAGCTGAGGGAGCTGGGTCTCTTTAGTTTGCAGAAGAGGAGACTGAGGGGAGACCTCATTCATGTTTATAAATATTTAAAGGGTGAGTGTCAAGAGGATGGAGCCAGGCTCTTCTCGGTGACAAACAATGATAGGACAAGGGGTAATGGGCACAAACTGGAACACAGGAGGTTCCACTTCAATTGGAGAAGAAACTTCTTCTCAGTGAGGGTGACAGAGCACTGGCCCAGGCTGCCCAGAGAGGTTGTGGAGTCTCCTTCTCTGCAGACATTCAAAACCCGCCTGGACGCCTTCCTGTGTAACCTCATCTGGGTGTTCCTGCTCCGGCAGGGGGATTGGACTGGATGAGCTTTGGAGGTCCCTTCCAATCCCTAACGGTCTGGGATTCTGTGTGATTCTGTGATTTCGTTCTTAGCAGAACAGTTAACACAGAAGTCACCACAGGGAAAATACTGATGCAAACCATACCACATCATTCTGTACTAACAATCTCCACTTCATTAGAAGTTTAGTTTTGAAGGTAGTTGCGTACACTCAACTAAATCAGTTTCTTTAGATTCCATTAATTCCTTGATTCAGCAAAATTCTTTAGACTATTTTTTAACTTTTGCAATTGAATCTTACACTGCTTACCTTGCTGTGCTGGGTCTTAGTATAGTGATAAAAGAACATATTGAACTCCTTCAAGCACTCATCTTTCAGTTCATAAACTCCATGGCCAGACACACCTGGTTTCCTTGCAGAGAAATATTTCACGACATACAGATTAATAATGCATATTCAGCACATCTTTGAATGTAAACAAACCAGTAACACAGTTTCTTTCCTAAGGACATGCTAGTAAGAAGTGGAGGAGTGATAGTTGTTTCATTAACTTATAAAGAGCACAGAGTGAGTACAGTTATCAGTCTTTAATCTTCAAGACTGTTTACTACTGTAAATCCTACCCAGCAGGAAAATACTTCTAGTCTGTACCATCTACAGCACACCATACAGCATCTGAAATATAAATTCTTTTCAACTTTATGGCTCAGAATTTCAGACGCTGGATGTTACTGTATAAAATTAATCACCTTCTTTAACCAAGGTACCAAATAAGTAACACGGAGAGACACTTTCCAGCCAGTGAGAAACCTTCCATATAATTCCCAAAGCAAAGTTCTGAGATGCACCTATAATTGTCCTTTGTTAAACACAAAAAAACTGAGCGATATGAAATTTAAAATAAGGTATACTAAAATAATTAAAATTACAAGACGTTTTTGTGACAAAAATAGCAGACATTTGAACTAGTTTTTTCTCAGCTGCTACAATCCATTGGTCTGCATTTGCATATAAATGTATGTAAGTTGGTTTATTAAAAAAAAAAAAACCTCCCACCTGAAAGTTACAGCAAGTTAGCAGCTAAATAACACCTAAACCAATGATTAGGTGGTGATTGTCAAAGCTACAGCCAATTGTTAAGGTTCCCAACCATCTCTGAAATAAAATGAGCTTCTGAAAATTTTTCCACTAGGACTCAAGATTACTCAACTCCTGAGACTCTTCAAACTGAATTTGAAGAAAGAGGAGGGTAAAAGGAGTGAAGCAGCACTTTGGGATATTCCAGCACATTATTTCAAGACTGCAAAACATTCACTGAACAGAGATGATGAGAGACCTTACTCACATTCAAGCTACTTATAAAACAATATTAAGAACTTACTTAAACGTAGCCACTTTATCAATTACATTCTCCAAGCCAGTTTCATTGTTCTCCTGGTAAAAAATTTAGTTTGGGATAAACATACAATGATTCAAATATCTTCAGCATTATGCTAGGTATAACAAAAATCGACATAGGTTTAGATCAATTCCCTAATTCATGAATTACAACATTTTGCCCACTGTCATTCAGAAAGCAGATATTCATCATGGAGAAGTTGGAAGGAAGCACCCAAGAGAGATAAAAGTTTTACATGATTAAATGACAGTATTATTTATAACAGAGCCTTACCTAAACTCAACAGAGGGAAAACCAGAGTTTTAGCCTCTTAAAACAGTGAATGTGGATCACCCATTAATAGTTTCTGATAATAATCCAAGCTATTTAATTTACAGTAAAACTGAACTTTCTTGCCTTGATTGCCAGCCCTGAAAACTTGCACAGGCTATAAAATCTAAACCACATCCCTGTCCTTTGCTTGCATTTTCATCAGTTGGAATAAAATGGAAGGGAAATCTGTGCTTTTGAATAGACCTGTACAATACTTGACTTCCAATACACTTCATAGGTTTCAGTTACAGGATCAAATCTATTGATGGTACAACATTGAGGGCAGAATGTAATTCAGTTGCAAGGTCCTACAGGGCCAAAAAAGAAAATAATTTTAAAGTTCTTCTTCAATCTAGGAGAACTAAAGCTGAATATTCTAAAAAAAAAATCACACTTTTTCATCAAAAAGCACAATCCTCACAGAAGCCTTTACAGATTAGGCCATACTTGAATCCATGACATTTACCTTTACTTCAATAAGGTGTGCAAAGCCTTTGTCATGCTATTTAGTAATTCTGAAACCAACAACTGAGCTTTATATAAGAAATAAAATTCTTCCATATAAATATATAGAATCTAAAGAAAAAGAAGACATAAACCAAGAAAAAGTCCATTAAGGAAAAAAGTCAATAAACCAGGACTCACATTTTCAGGCAACGACTTGGTAATTGCACTGTGAGCCATTGGTTCAATACATAACAGATGGATGATTTCTCTCATGATAACATCTTCTTTTTTCACATTACTCACTCCAGGCACATATCTTTCCCCTACAAGAGTGAATCAAAAGGGTAAGAATGGCAAGTATGACAGTTAAAAAGTAGTTCTGAATTTTGCACCACGGTAATGCTATTGCTGGGATATTTCATAGTATAAGTTTGCATTCACCAGAAACCTATCCCAAGTGTCCAAGAGGAAAAGTGCTTTTTAGCCTAGCTTCCTAACAAAATGGGCTAAGATGGAGTTATGCTTCATATTCTACATTAATAGCAAATCACGAAGTTATCTAACAGTTTTCTTTTCAAAATGCAATCCCCATTGCTTCTGGCTGTCTACTACATGTGTTACTGAGCCATCTATTTAAAACAGGCATTCTCCAGGATGCTGTCCATACCATCTATGTTCAAGTCACTCCTCAAGGCTGCTTTGTCAAAATATAATAACCCATTACTACAATAGCAGAGGGAAGTGAAACTTACCCACAACATAGATGAGAATCTGTAGCATCTCTTCTATTAACACATTACATTGTTTGATCAAATCCTACAAGAATCAGAGAAACCAGTTTAAAGAAAACCAAACCCAAACACAACAACAACAAAGAGGCAGGAAAATCTGCCAAAGACACTGAGCTCGGCTTCCAGATGCACTGCTTTGCTGAGCACTGTACTGTAAGAAAAAAAATCCATTCTAAAAGGCTGGAAAAAATTGCCTGTGCTTGTAGAGGAGGAATTATTTGGCAGTTGAAGCACAAGACTCACATGCAGAAAAAGAAACAACAGCTAAAAACATATCCCAAATGAAGGGTTGTACAGAAGTTCAAGCCTCAAGAAGCAGTGCAGCAATCCAAAAACTTCTAGCCAAAATAAGAACACATAATATAGCTTATGAGACACAGAAATTTTATAGATAAATAATTTATGTAGATTTAGGTAGATTCCCTATGAAATAAAGGTTTAAAAGAGCATTTGCTAATTTTGAGTAAGCCTCTACAAATGCCAAATGCAAAGTATTTTTCCTAACTAGGTCCTGTGTCGACTGACTTAGTGTGGTCACAAAAATGCAGTTACCAATGGTAGCTAGTTTTTTCATAAACTCAAAGTAAACAGATTAATCAGCTGAAATACTTGCCAATTACCTGGTCTTTGGTGGGTTTGAGCTTTTTGAAAGCATCAGCAAGCTCGTATCTCTGCAGAATCAGCAGGAGGAATTGGTTTGGATCCATAAGAGATGCACCTATCTGTCAAAAAACCCAAAGTAATATGAACATTGGTTACTATTACAGTTCTTCATTAACTAAGAAAAATACTTTTACAAAGAAGGAAAAAAATCATACAAATGTAATTAAAATGAAAGAAAATTTAATGAAAATTTTGTAAGTTAAGCAATTATTCACATATTATACCTGGAGCATGATGATATCTTTATCATACATCTCTTCTCTGCATTTAACATCTTGATAATAAAATACCTGAGAAACAGGAAAACAAAATTGAAGTAGAGAAGTAATGCACTATCGAATGTGATAATGTCTGGGGCTTTTTTAAACTGTACAGTGCCTTTATTGAGTAAGGGCAAGTCCTGTGTTTTCTTTAAAACAAACACGTACTTTGATGGAAGTGAGAAGTGTTTTGTCACCTATCCAGAGGAATTCTATGCCTTACTTCTTCGTACCCCCTTTGAAGACAACATAATTCTAATGGCTGCCACTGATTAAAGTCAGATCCTCCTCATTCTCCTACCCCAGCTCTCAGAGACACAATTCTACAAGGGGCTACCAATATCTACTTTGACTTCACCGAAGGGTCCTGTGAAAGGCAACCGCAGAAAATGTCTGCCATCAAAGACAAAAAAACAGGGAAGCCAAAGCAGGCAAAATACAAATACTTAAGAGTAGACTCATACTTTTAACTTCACTCTTGCAACAAAAAAGCCCACAAATATTAGAAAATGTTTGTTATGTCCAGTTATACAGCACTGAAAGGCAGTATGAGATTAAAGTAGTTTAACTTTTGCATATAATGCTTGCAATACACCAAGAGATTCTGCTAACATTTTAAGTTATAAACAACAGTACTAACAGTACTTATGCAGTGATTTCTTTATCAGAAATTTGATCAGTTGACGTCAGTAACATTAAGATCATTTCACAGAATCAGAAACAGCCGTAAGAGATAAAAATACTTGTCTTATATGAGCAGGCAAGCCATTGATGAAGCTGGAAATAAAACTAGGTCATCTAAATTCCCACCTCGAAACCTTTCTATTTAGCGTAGGAGTGACCCCCATGACCTCTTTCTGCACTGGATGAAGTGACCACTGCGAGCATTACTGAGTAACACTTGCATACACCATTAAGACCAACTCACTGCTGAACATCGTAGGAGTACCTGGCTTATCAGGGAGAGCCCATTCCTTCTCCACATCTCTGCAGCAACCTGAGCAACCAAGACAAGACATCGCAAAGGATATTCCACTAGCAGCTCCACTTGAAATTCTTCCTAGAATTTAAAAAAGAAAGAAGGAAAAAAAAAAATCAGGAAAGAATAAGTCTGTCAGTGATATTAGAAGTGTAAGTCCTAATGTACAAAGACATATTGACAGATGCAAAACAACTTGTGTGTGTCATGAAAGTTACAGGATATAATTCTAGGCTTTTTCCTTTCCAAAGTATAAAGCATAGGAAGTGTCTGGGGGGATGGGGAGAGGTAGGTGGTATGAAAATCTTACAGGAGAAATAAACTCGTGCAATCTTGAGATGGTTCCAGTCTTGCTTAATCGTACATGAAGACCTACAAAACCAATAGCAAAAAAAATTAGAAAATAATTCAAAATCGGTAAAGTTTCTCCTCCAACCCACTCTAAATGTTTGCTAAATAACCTACAAGTCAGAGAACAACAGAATAAAAAGCCAAAGTTTATTTAGGAAAGACCTGTTACTTGGGGTTTTTTAGATAGAAGATCTATTACATTATTAGAACAGTTCTTACTACTCCTACAATCCATTATTTTATGAATAAAACCATTCATTTAATCAATTCATTAAAATAACTTAAATTGAGATGCAAAATAGCATTAGCAAAATTTTTATGTCACGTTTCAATCATATGTAAGCAGTAACTGAACTTCAAGACTACAGAGCTTAACAGATGGTATCTTGGTATCAAAGGATGTGATAAAGAGAAATCTACATCTTATTAATAGCCCATGATTTCATTTGTGTTCTAGAGAAAACAGCAATCACCCGCTGCTGTGGTTTTTTGTATTCTGACTGGAAATCCGTCCTGGCATGCTGCAAACATATGTCTTTTAGGAGGAGCATTTTAACAGTCCTAAAATACATGTGGTTGGAAAATAAATTCGAGATATAGTAATAATGAACATTCATTTAGTCAAAACAGGTAGAAAGAGAATAGATAAATTCAAATAGTCCAGAGAAAACTGAAGTTCTCATTAAAACATGAGAATTTTCTTTCTTCCCTGACTTTCTTATGTCTCCACTGTTTAAAAAACTTCCTCCAATCTCCATGGCACATGTGCTTTTGAGAAAAATTTTCCCCTAGTAGGACATCTGGGGAACAGGGTTGCCTGACCATGAGAATGTCAGGAATTCAGAGAGTGACTGATCTGTGAAGCACTTAAACTAAATGCTTTCTAGAATAAAGAAACAGAGATGGATGATAAACGTAAGTCAAATAGCAATCAAAACAAAGCACACCACCTACCTGCAAGAGTCCTAGACAGCGGCAAATGTATGCTGACAGGATCTGCAGACACTCTGTAAGGTCTGCTCTCCAGGGTATGGCCACACAAGTGAAACACTGTCTTTTCCCGTGAGCGGCCATTTGTGCTGCACCTCATCACAGCTTTATGACATTCTCTGTAGGCCCTGAGCAACAGCTCTTCCTAGAATTTAAATGCATAGCGTTACATTTAAAAATCATACACGTGCACTAAGACCCCTCACTTCATTTGTTTTGGTTGTTGTTTTTTTTTAACAGTATAAACAGTTACTAAAAAGCCACAATATAATTACTACTCTGCTTCTTAACACTGAGAAGTACTGGACTGGAGCAGTGAAGCATGCACTAAAGCTAACTGACAATATGCTTCTGTTCAAAATAGCTGCTCTGTCAAATGCTCCAAAATTTAAGCTGCTATATTTTAATATTTTGCATAGTTTGCAACCTAAATAGTATCAAGAAGCTCTGAACTGCTGTAGTTCTTCATTTCTCTCCTTATCTCCCTACTGAAAAAAAAAGATGCACTCCAGCACTGATTAAGACTGCTTACAGTGCAAGTACTCAATTACTGCAAAGTTTCTGTAATTAAAATTGTGCTTCAAAACCTTAAAACTTGACAGTGATACCATTAATTCAGATATTGAGAATTAGGTCACGAGAAGTATTTTCTCTTCATGATTTGCCTGACACCCTGTGCAGCTTTTTCAGCTAGAATATTATACCTTTCTGAGATCATTTCTCTCTCTGGGGTTGTTTAGCCTGGAGAAGAGAAGGCTGAGGGGAGACCTCATCACCACCTACAACTACCTCAAGAGAGCTTGTGGAGAGGTGGGTGCTGGGCTCTTCTCCCAGGGGATGGGGGATAGAACAAGGGGAAACGGCACCAAGCTGTGCCAAGGGAGGGTCAGGTTAGAGATAAGGAGGAAGTTCTGTACTGAGAGGGTCGTCAGAAGCTGGCACAGGCTGCCCAGGGAGGTGGTGGAGTCACCATCCCTGGATGTGTTTAAAGAGCGGGTAGATGAGGTACTTAAGGATATGGTTTAGGGGGTAGACAGGAACGGCTGGACATGATGATCTCAGAGGGCTTTTCCAACCGAGCGATTCTGTGATTCTGTGATCATAGATTTAATTCTTTCAGACTCATTGTTTGTGGAGATCCGTATTGAACAACAGTGAGCTTTCTCAAAAAGCACTCAGGAACATTCACAAGAGGCATGCATCTAAGAACCCCAGACAACTGGTGTACTTACATCACAGGCACACCACTCCTGGAACATCAAAAGAATGTTCTTGAGCTGCATCTGTATAGTAATAGCTGCTTCCCAGTCAGGGTCCACCTCAATGTGCTGACCAATCTGTCTTTTTATCTCCTCCATTCCCTGAAATGGAGATGCCACAAAATACTCAAGCTAAATCAGTGATCACAGGCTTGAAACACCACAAAATCCCTTAAGCAAATGGTAAAATATACACGTAGCTAAAATTTATGGATATTATTTCTATAAAGTAAACATTATTTTTTCACCCACCCAAGATAGCAACTGAAGGATTTACCATCTCAATTGCATATTTATATGCACAATATTGCTACGGACAAAAAGATGAGCAAACAAAAGTGCTGTAATGGGTTTATAACGACTTACTAGAAATAAATGATTTTAACATGTTGTACCTGCATGCAAGTTAGAATCCTTAGGAAAGAAACAAATCCCTCTAGAAACCGCTCCCTCAGACGGTCTGTCCATAACGTAGGCTTGCTGACTAAGATATACCTGTCCCCAAAGAAAACATTATCATCTTTTGCTCTCACTTCTCTTTTGCTTCTGCTTGTTTTTAAAAAGTCTTCTTTATATTAAAATAATCAACTACATCATCACATTACATCAAGCTTCCCACCTCAAAATCCTCTTAAAATTTTTACCAAGCACTAGAGTTGCTTAGTGCGACTCCATCATTTGAAATTAAGGGATTTTTTTAATTTCAAAGTATTTGGGGTGATTTGCTTTTACATTATTTGAGACCTGTAAAAGTGAAAAATGCTACGCAGATGAGGATTATCCAGCTTTCCCAGAATGATAATGAATAGAAGCCAAATTTCCCATACTGCCTTACAGTAGATATATTTTATTAACACATTTGTTATATGGAATGGTATCAGTGAAAATAATCAAAAATTATCTTTATAGAATATAATTTTGGCATTTGAGAATTTTAAATTTGCACTGGAAAATTAAAACATTAAAGTTTTCCGTATGGTTTTTTGAGGGGTTTGGTTTGGGGTTTGTTTTTAAAGCAGTTTCATCATCAGACTCCTGAATTGAAACACTTCATCTTACTGCCAGTTTTCTAACTGCTCAAGCTGCTCAGCTCTTCACTTACCTGAGGTCATATATTACTGCATATACCCGGTTCAGTTTGTCCTGACTGTAACCCTGGAAGTTGAACTTGTCGTTTTTGTCTAGGTACTCTGGAAGCACTTCCAAGAGTGTCTCTGTAATGGTGGTGATTACATTTTGCTCTTCAATGAGATGTCGAGCCTGCAAGAAGAAAATTAAAATTTTTTCTTCCTGTCTTTGTTGAACTGTCCAAATTATTTTTCCTTTGAATAGAGTCTTTTTTATTAAAAATTATTTAAAGTATTTTTTAAAACATCCAAGCTATAAAAACTCCCACAGTATTTATTACATATGAGTACAAAAGCTATCAATTTAGCATGTCTGTTCACTTTGACAGCTTGAATGTAACCGGCATGCTTCTTTTCTCTAGAAAGTTCATGTAGAAAAGGTCTTTTACATTAGTACTTCAGGCAAGAAACATATAATTTTTAAAAGTTACAGGTATACTTCTCCACCCCTAGGATTTAACACATTTCACCCAGACAAAAACACATTTAATCCATTTTTTTGCCCCCAACCCCCAAGTTTAAAAAATTACATAAGGAAAATGTGAATCATAAATGCACACAAAGCTAACGCAGAGAACGATGCCACCTAAACCTTTCACTTGTCTGCATTCCTTTTATCTTCTGTAATGATTTTGCACATAAACTCAAGCTCCTTTCATACTGGCCTTACCAAATCTCAATTTATTTTCAGCTCAGCAATGCATAAAGACTCCCTGTCAAGTAAAGCAGTCTGCAAAGGTGATACTGCTAGCACTTCTCAAATCTGTTTTACATTTCTAGTGGAGACAGGCTGTACATGTTATAGTCACAGGAAAATTCTGGCTGATTGGGGTGGGTTTTGTTTCAGCAGTAGAGCTAAAAGAGCACTTTGACCAATCAAGGTAACTAAAGTGGGTTGATGATGATGTAGTTAGAATAGGTATTTGTTTAAACTATAGAGTTAAGAAAAAGATTGCAAGATATGTTTGTATAAGCACTAGAGAAGGCACGTACCATGCTCGAGAGAAGAATTAGACAATAGCATGAGGGATAATAGCTGTGGTCAGACCACCATAAGAATAGACCAAAACTCTTTTTTGACAAAATTATAAGGGTAATCCAATGTCTTACGTGGCGTGATAGTGGGGAACCAATCAAGGTGAGGGGCAGAGTAAAAGGTGATGATCTTATGCATGCTCATATGATTTTTGCTTTGTTAAAAATGTGTAAATAGGCCGTGAAAATGTATGGGCGCCAGAGCACAATTAGAGGAGCTTCCCTCTGTGCATCCCCAGCGCTGTAAATAAGGAAGTACCTGCTTATCTGCAACTGCATAGATAAGTTTTTCTCATCGTGATTGCAACCCCATCAACATACATACCAGAGTAGGTACGGTGAACATCTGAACTGAGAGTGCCGTCACAGAGAGAACTCTGTCATGATCATCACTGATGTATTCTTTTTGCAACGCCTTGTAATACTAGGAAAAGAGAATATTGGGGAAATGGAATAAATAAAACAAGTGTCATTTAAAATGTTTACTTTTTTATTTGTAAGAATTACACCTCAGTGTCCTTCCTTTCCAGTAGGAGCAGATCATACAACAAAAACTGCATGATGTCCTATATGCACCAAATAAATTAAGTACGTGCCCCACCGCCTTAATACTGAAGATTAGCACAAATTTAACTGTTCTGCCAGATTGGAACTAAAAAAAATATTCTTTCTCCTACAACCAACCTTCCCCAAGAAAATAAATTAAATACTGGAAAAAAGGATCAATAAAGACATTAACTTATTATAAAACAAGTCAGCTTCCTGCAGTAAACTGCATGGATTCAACAGTCAACAGCTGTCTATAAAAGATGTGTACAATGAGTAATGTAAGTCTTCGTTTTGTTTAAGTCCAGGGAAAACCATTAAGTGTCAGTTACATTTATGAGGATTAAAAAGTCTCCCCCTGAAACAAAAAACACTTGGTCTTATGTTTTGTATATTTCTTAAGTATTATATCTGATTTTTAAAACTAACAACTGCAACTGAAACTGGTCTATCTGCCATTTCAAAAGATACACAGAATACTAACAGTACTGCATTCAAAATGAGTATAAGATCTACATGATCATAAGAAACAAACCAATGACACTGGAATTAATACACTCTGGAAAGGCTGAACTGGTTGTTTTAGCTCTGCTTGTTGAAAATTCATTATTTATATGGCAACAACTTTCAGGTTTTGGGGAAATTTCACAGAGCTACTAAAAATTCCTAGCACAAAAGCCAAATAAACACTTACTTTCACAAATTCCACGGCAAAAAGTTTTTTGTATTCCATTTCCATGAAGAAACTACTGAAGATAAGTTCATGAAGAACCTTCCTTGCCCCTGTGAAGAGCCAATAGAACACACATCACTTTGTGGAAAAGAGGAACAGATTATTAAATTATAATTAAAAATCATTAAAAGCCTTGAAACGGTTACGAGGTATACGAACAAAGTTATACACATTGTTTTTATTGGTACGTATATAAAACATAGGGTAAGCATCAGGTCATTCATAGTCAAGCCACATCTTGTGAAGATTCTTCAAAATACCAAAAGCAGGAAAAATTTAGGAGGCAAATACATACCCAAAATACCAATTGTCTCAGCCATTAAAAAAATGCTGTATCAACAAAAATAAAATCTATAAAGAAATGTAACTCCACCTGCATAGCACTTACTTACTTTTACACATTTGGTACACATATGAAAAATTAATTTGCCTCTTATAGCAGTTTATAGCAACAAGGATACACAAACCTTTATGAAGTTTTGCATCCCATAGCATCAACTTGCTTATGAAGCACGGCTTTTCAGATCCAGCTTCTTCTCTGAGACATATTTGACAAAAGATCTGGCGAAAGTCACCTATAGGGATAAAACTATTCATTTGTACAAGAATGCTTCAATAATTAAATGATACAAGCCAGCAAAATGAGAATTACAGAATTCTGTTCTTAAAAAAAAAGGGGCGCTTCAGTATGAATTATTTTTAATAATGTTTTTTTCTCAGTGAACACACTCCCACACAGTCTCCTCTTAGCAGTTTCTTCCTATTATTCTTACCTACCTCATTTAATAAATCCAGTGATGCAGGAGAGTATTTGAAAATTAAAAGCAATCAGAAATGGATTGAGAGCAGCCCTGAGGAGAAGAACTTAGGGTTTAGATTGATGAGAAAGTCAACACGATGTGGCGATGTGTGCCTGCAGCCCAGAAAGCCAACAATACCCTGGACAGCATCAAAAGAAGCGTGACCAGCAGGTCGAGGGAGGTGATTCTCCCTCTCTACTCCAGTCTCATGAGAACCCACTGGAGTACTGTGTCCAGCTCTGGGGCCTCCAACACAAGGAGGACATGGACCTGTTGGAGCAGGTCCAGAGGAGGGCCACAAAGATGATCAAGGAGCTGGAGCACCTCTCTTATGAGGCCAGGCTAAGAGAGTTGGGGCTGTTTAGCCTGGAGAAGAGAAGGCTCCAGGGGGATCTTATAGCAGCCTTTCAGTAAATAAAGCAGGGCTACAGGAAAGATGGGGAGGGACCCTTTATCAGGGAATGTAGTGATAGGATGAGGGGTATCCTGAAAGGGGATAGATTTGGATTAGATATTAGGAAGAAATTCTTTACTGTGAGGGTGGTGAGACACTGGCACAGGTTGCCCAGGGAAGCCGTGGATGCCTCCTCCCGGAAGTGTTCAAGTGCCGGCGAAGTGTTCAAGGCCAGGCTGGACAGGGCTTTGGGCGACCTGGGCTGGTGGGAGGTGTCCCTGTCCTTGGCAGGGGGGTTGAATTAGATGATCTTTAAGGGTCTTTCCAACCCAAACCATTCTAAGATTCTTTGAAGTATCAGTTAACCTGTAACAATTTCCTAACCCAAAATGCTACACCAAACACAGAAGACTCCTTTTTAGCTTTAGCTTATCTCATCAGCTAAAAAGGTAATCTCTAAAAAGCTAAAATTTTGGAGATCCGATGAGACACTGACTCATCCACACTCAGAGTCAACAGCTGAATAATCAGCTGTCAGTGCTTAACATAGCATTATCTCATAAAATGGAAAATAGTAATAAAAATTGTCTAGGAAGAGAAATGTGGATACAAAACCCCTTGAACTGTCACTAAAAACAAACCATCACATAGTGATAAATTTGTACCAGATACAAGAACTGTCTGAGGAACTTGAACCAGCTTCACTAAAAACAAACCATCACATAGTCATAAACTTGTACCAAATACAAGAACTGTCTGAGGAACTTGAACCAGCAAAAATATACCATGAGTGAAATTAATACAGAGTTGAACAGAAAGCTAAAATTTGTAAAACACTGTAAAGAATTACAGAAGGTACAATTCTGATGTCTGTATTTCAAGGGAAAGATCGGAAAGTGAGTGTTCAGATAAAAGGTTTGAAATTCACTTTATTACCCAAGCTTACAAAAGAGGCTAAAGCAGACCAACAGGTTTACACTATCAAGAGGGAGGATTAGCAGTGAGTAGAGCTTAATCTATGCATATTTGTACAACGAAAAGCAATTTTACAATGGCTTTAGTTTGACAAAACACAAGGATGAAAAAATCCTGTACCAGAAATCAAAATCAGATTGATTCAGAAGTTGTCTTTAAAGCCATGAGCATCATCAACCACCAGAACAAAGTTTGAAAGCTTAGAATAGACTTTCCACTACTGGACAAATTTTTAAATTAAGACTTATTTGTTCGCTTTACTGAGACTGTCTAAATAATCACAGCTATCAAATCTGAAGCAGGAACTGATTCAAGCAGAAGATGTATGCTGTCACTGATGGAGAAATTTCGCAGCATTCCACCAGCACTGGTGAGAGCAGCTTTCAAGCAAAGAAGTCACTAAAATAGGGCATGTGATGCTGAAACTGAGGATAATAATTATTTATTTACTAATTAGGAGGACTGTGAATATTTTAATACGGGGGCATCATATATAACACTGCTGAACATATTATTTTGAGAGAATTAGTCATTCAAATACTGACATGGCATTATCATAACAAAAATGAGTTATGCTTACTTGAATAGCTCATGAGTTTGTTCAGCCAAGAACCAAGGCGCAAGGCAAACTTCTGGTGAGCCATAACATCAGCATGCAGAACCTCCACATGAAGCGGTCGTTGAGAAACATTTTCAGAATGCCTCTAAGAGTCAGGTAAATATTGATAGAGATAAAATTAAATAAAGATAATGATAGTTTTCGTATTTATCTTCACCACCCATTACCTCTCCCAAACACACGTTAACAGCAAACGGTAACAAGAAAATAAACCAGTCTGACATTTTCTTTCTGAAGGTATCTGTGTATCTATACCAAACGTAGTGGGGTAAATTCAGTTTCAACGAGTTCACAGACAGGTTATAAAAGCATGGAACTACTAAGTTAAGGACTGCACAGCAGACAAATAAGTCTTCAGCATTAATAATGATGAGTTTGATTTGTTTGGTTTTTAAATAAGAAAAATCTTTTAGGAAGTTACCTTGATTTCTTCTTTTGCTTCCTGGCAAGAGGCATAATGTCCTGCCTTAACAGCTCTACGACCCTATTTAAAGAAAATGCTGAGCATGAGACCAATATAAAACAAAACAAGAACAAAAAGCTTGATCCTTGCTGTATTTTTTTATATGCAAAACAAAATCTGGGACCAACTTCACTCATGGTGCTATTAGACATGTAGAAGCAAACCAAAATTAACATATTTATCTTTAGGAAAAAAAGCTACTATAATTCAATTAACAATGGAACAAAAAAGTAAAGTCTGGGTATCTTAATATGATTAGTTAAAAGAAAATTCAGGTACAGATTAATACAGGTGAGTGAGATTTCTGCAGAATACTTCAAATACAAACCACATCAACTTTCTTCCTCACACAAAGTCCACTCATCCTAAATTGCTTTTCTACAATCTTTCTTACTATTTCTTATTTCTGTATGTGAAATAGCAGGGTATATTATAAGCATGGGTTTGATAGCTCTTTCAATTAGGCCAAGATCAGGTCCAGCTTAGACCCTGAATTTCACTCAAAGGAAATCAGAGGTGTGGGCGTCCAAAACAATCTTAAGATTGATGCTATAACCATGCATGTATATACATATTTTATAAAACCTGCAGCTGCAGGACAAGACTTGTAGCTGAACAAGACTGACACAAGCCACTGGTAACCAAATACAACTAAACATCCATTACATGAACGAAGAGAAACACAAAAAGAAAACTCATTTTTTACGGATTAAAAAAGAATACTGATATTTGTAAGATGTTATAAGTGTAAACACACAGCTATAGACAAAGTTTCTCCACGTGCAAACACATAAGTTTCGTACTCATGAGATAAAAAACACGGTTGCAATTAAGATAATTCAAAACTCATCGTGTTTTATTTATCTCTCAGTACAAAAACATCCACCACTAGTGTAAGGTTCTTACATGGGACATTAGTCTGAGAAATGAAGTAATAATGTTGTCAGGTTCACCCACACTCCTTCATGGATTCTTCCTGGTTTCATTTGCTTAAATTGAAGTTTTAAGATTTCCAAATGAAGTCTGAACCAGAAGCAGCAGTAAATCTTTCAAAAGGTAAGGTACATTTCTGATTCAATATAATGAAATACGCATATTGCTGACTCACATATTTTTTAGACAAATACTATTAAATAAAACATTCATCTCACTGAGAAGAAAAAAATAAGAAAATACTCCAAATGTGAAAGGAGCAACTTCAGATAAATCAGCTCTTCCCTGTCTCAAGAAACTGAGGTTTTGTTCTGAATCAAAAAATAAAAATCAAAAACTTTCTTGAAGCAAATGCTGGCTAACAGTTAATCCACAACACGCCTTCCTTTCTTCTCAAGCTCCAGCATGCCAGAAACAAAGATCCTATGATCAAGAGGAGTACAGCAGCACTTCTTAATGACTAAAAAGTTACTTTCTCCCATATCCAGAACGCACCAACCTCTTTATCTATGGCAGTAGTATGCAACTGGGCTTCTCCAAGTTCACAGCCAAGTGCCCTTTGCAGGCTATAGATGACGTGATCGTACGAATGATGTTCATCATTGAACAGGACACAGTAGTAGCTGTCCACCTTCTCTCTACTGCAAAAAAGCCAACATATAATCATACAAATAAAAGTAAAATTGTAAATAATGCCCTATCCAATACAAGCAACAGCTCACTTGATAGCCTGGCAGAAATGTCAAATACAAAAGAATTATAAACTAACAGGACACAGTAGTAGCTGTCCACCTTCTCTCTACTGCGAAAAAGCCAACATATAATATACAAATAAAAGTAAAATTGTAAATGCCGCCCTATCCAACACAAGCAACAGCTCACCTGAGAGCCTGGCAGAAATGTCAAATACAAAAGAATTATAAAATAAAATCAAGCGTGTTCTTTATGTCAAAGACACAGCCCTCCCCATCTATACTAGAAAAAGCCACAGAAACCATGCACCAAGTAGAAAAGAGATTTTAGGTTATTTGATTATTTGATTATTTCCTCTCTCTGCTGCTTTATGATCCCGTTTGTCTTTTTAACATGACACACAGCAGTCTTTCTTCATTTTGATAGAGCACAGTCACACACTACTTTTTCCATGAAGTATCAAAAGCTCTTCTCTATACAACTGTAGGGCAAAATGCTACAGTGCTGGTTACAGGAATTTTAGCACAAATATGTTTGCATGAGTGTAAGAATAACACAGCAAAATTATTATCAATGTTTTTAACACCTTGAAGAGAAAGTTGGAAACACTCCCTACCTAATTGTGAGCTCCGGAGGCAGCTCCTTCTCTTCTTCCCATATAAGCATATCTACAATGTATTTTATCACAGAGGGAAACACTCTCCTAGAGTGCTCCATAATTTCTTCATTCAGCTGACATTCAGAATTCTGTAAAACAGGAGGTAATATTAATACAGAAATTAAAAAACCTTGAAAAATTAAAAAGGGTTGGTAAAATACCTTATTACTACATTTGTTTCACGAAATCAGTCTCTTCATGATTTTCAAGCACATTCATCTCGCTTAATTTCTTCTCTTCAAAATTATTTCATTCCAAGGGTTCTCAGTAGTATTCCAACAGTTTCAACTACCTTTGTGGTTTGGTTTTTGATTGGTAGTTTTAATGGTTGGTTGTTTTTTGGTTTGGGTTTTTTTCTTTTAGGGGGGGTCATTTGGTTGGTTGGTTGGTTACACATCCAGTTTTTATCTAGAAATACACTAGGAAAGGCCTCACCAAATGTGTCAGGAAACCTCAATTTTTTTATTTAACTTTTGTTTTATAAAGCTGGTTAACAGCTGTACACCTGAAGATATTAAAAGTTTCCAGTCAAGACCAAAATTCCTCCCCTGCATTGCTTGCCCTTCTGTGCAGGTATTCTGCCACTTATCACAGAATCACAGAACATCAGAAGTTGGAAGGGACCTGGAAAGCTCCCCCAGTGCAACCCCTGCCAGAGCAGGATCACCAGACCAGGTCACACAGGAACACGGCCAGGGCTTTGGGTGTCTGCAGACAAGGAGACTCCACAACCTCTCTGGGCAGCCTGGGCCATGCTCTGGCACCCTCACAGTAAAGAGGTTTTTCCTTATCTTCAAGTTGAACCTCCTATGCTCCAGCTTGCAACTTATGACACTCCTTGGACAGAATCATCCAAAGAAATCTAACTGGTCTTTTCAGAGATCCCATCCCAGATCTAGAAATTATTCAAAATATCCCTGTGAACTGACATGTTTCCAATCCACCCAGATAAAGCTCATTAAGTTAATTGTCATACAACATTATTACCCCTTTCCACAAGCATTTAACCCTTGATTTCTCTCCTGCTATAAACAAATAAAAACATTATCAAATCTGCACTTTGAATGAAGCAATCAGTATTCAAGCACAAGACAGATACATTGCAACGACACTGTGAGAAAAGAAGGCTTTAACCCAAAGGCCTTGATGATGTTTTCCACATACATCTTCCTTTCAGCATATGTATAAATAAATGGAATACGATGTTGTTATTGTTAACACAACCAAATCCAGTCATTTCATATACAAATACGATGCAGAAACAGACACTGATGTTTTCTAGAGTATTCACACGATAGCACTGACTGTACATACTTAATTTTGGATAAGCTTACGACAGATCTTGGTAATGAAGACTGTAAATATTTGGGGTAATTACTTTTTGCCCAGACTGATAAAGCTATTGTGATATTAAA